AGTCTACCTCAAGGTGCACAGGGATAGGACAAGAGGCAGTGAGCCCAATTTGCATGGGAATGTTTAATTAGACAACTGGAAAAAAATAATCACTGTGAGGATAAGTCAAAAAATGTAATAGGGGCCTGGAGAAGCTCTGGAGTCTCCATTTTTAGAGATATTCAAGTCTTGACTCAACTTGTGACTTGATCTAAGATTTACACTTAAGTTATTTAAGTAACCAGATGACCTCCAGACCTCCCTTCCAACCTGAATTATTCTCTGTTTTGTGAAGACGTGGTGTCATGTCATACAGTTTTAGCTGTGGTGACTGACTACTGTCAAGATTTTGTTACTGGCTGATAACCAGTGGTTATTATCCACTCAGTTGTACTGGTGGGAGGGCTTGTGAGAATAATTCCTAACCTTCTTCAGTGCAACATCAGCTAGGTTGGTTTGTACAACTGCTGTGGTGGTTGACAGTACCACTTCTTTCCCTGTATCCAGCTTTTCAGGCAAATTTAAGGAATAGAAATATACCTATTTTCAAATGAATTGCCAAGAACCTTTGAAATCTGTTGATTTCCAAAACTGGATTTTAATGATGAATGTGAAGGTGAGAACGTGGTTCCATTGACCACGCTGTCTTAAGTCAGACCAGAGCTTTTTCCTCAGATCATGTGAGATTAATGAGGGGCCAACATTGCAACTCACGCCACTGCCAAGAGAGCTTTCTGAAGTGAATACGAAGAATATATGAAGAACTCGGGGTTAGAAACTAGGATTAGAAACAAAATACATGTACTTAGGCTGTACTCAGGTTTTATATCAGTGCTCAAAGGATGAGAATAGAGAAAAGAATGGGGGTTGTGTACGGAGTAATACATGCTGGAAGGCTGGTCGATCACTTCAGTGCCAGAAATCACTCTGGCTATGTCATGTTGGCATTACGAGTGGAACAGTAATGCCAGGGCAAACCACCTGCTCCTCCTTTCTCACTGCCTGCATGGCGATGAGACAAGTAGATAGAGTGCTCTCAGGTCATCTCACATAGACTCGGTGCACAAAGTGCTCAGTTTGGCTGTTTATTTGTGTGCATAAATAGATCCCAATCTTTCCAAAGTCCCATGGCTCCAGCTTTGCATGTGGAAAATAGAATTACAATCACTGTAAGGGAAGGAGGGAGGGTACTAGAGCTGTTAACACTTTCTTCCCTTGGAGAGGCATGTCTCATCTGATAATCTATTTGGAGGGTGAAGAGATGTATTCCTTTGCCCTTACAGATGTGGTGAAGGGTATACTAATAGATCAGTAATGTGCACTATCATTATCCTGATTTTATTATTATTTTTGTAATAATTACATTAAACATGCACAAAGCAATGAGATGTGATGCTTTCTCTTTGTACTGTTTTACTGTTTTGCTTTATCACAATGCTGCAAGGCCTGGATCCTTCAAAATATTTCGTAATGGGGGGAAATCCAGTTATTTTGGCTTTCTATAAAGTAGTGGTTTTTCCAAATGCTATCATGTGGGCCTACTCTAGTGAATCAGACAGTGGTGTTTGCAAGATAATTACTTGCATTCACTCTGTTTGGCTGCAGAGGGGCTAGAGCTGCTCCAAACTAATATAATAAGAACTGCATACAATTTTTTTCTCTTTTGTTAAATCTGTAAATCAACACCAGCTGAAACAGCATATTCTACATAATTTCTCATGAAATATGTTTGTGCTTCATGTTGCTTCCTTTTCTGATGAATATGGAACATCTGAGTTTGTACGAGGCCAGGAACAGCAGTACTCTGGGGAAACACATTGCTGGAGCAAAGGAGGAAGAAAAGGGGATTGCGTAAACTGTTCAGGAGAAACACAATAAATATGGAAAGAAAAATTTCCTTAAACATATAGTGGCTGGGGAAGACATCCAGTGGACTGGTATTGTGACATTTTGTTGCAGGCTGAAGGCTGTACACAGCACATCTTTCCAGGCAAAAAGTCATTATTTCACCTCAGAAAATGATAGACCTGTGGAAACCCCCCCCAGAGGGGTGTTGGCCACCTGATCAGTGAGTGATTTTACGTTTTCAGTGCCCACAAACCTTTTGCAGTTGCAGCAGTTCATATATGCACAGTCTACGTACATATGGACCAAAATCCTGTATTTTTCTGCATTCAGAAAGCCCATTGTAATTACATTCAAATGAAGACCTAATTGGCAGTGTTTGTGGTGTGCTTTAATAGCCAGGATGAGGAAAGGACTAAACCATGGCAGGCTTGTTGGCATGCCTCCTTTTGTTGGGGTGGCTGTGGTGAGAGGTGCCCGTGGCCTACCTGCCCCGCTGTGGTTGTGCCTACCATCAGAGGAGGGAGCATGCCCTGGCTCCCCGCAGATCTGGCCTTTCTTCAGGACAGGAGATGTCAGTGCTTTTCATGAATAAACAAACTGGTTTTAGGAGTAACACACAGCACTGGACCATTTATGCTGATGAGAGGCGAATACCTGAGTCTGCATGAAGGCACAGTGCAGGCCTTGGCTTCTTGCCTGCTCTTCTCATGTTGCCCATGTGAAGCCTGTCCAGAACGATCAGCATGTCTTCTGGATTCACATTCAGGCCTGACCCAGAGTCTTGAAAATGAGGAGACATTTCTTCTCAGAGAGAGCAGTCAGGCACTGGGACGGGTTGCCCAGGGAGGTGGTGGAGTCCCCGTCGCTGGGGGTGTTCAAGAAGAGGCTGGATGTGGTGCTTGGGGACATGGCTTAGTAGGTGACATTGGTGGTAGGGAGATGGTTGGACCAGATGATATTGGAGGGCTTTTCCAACCCTAACGATGCTGTGATTCTATAAACATGACCATATTGTTGTAATCTAATCCTACCAGCATTCAGCTATGGCTGATCTCGTATGTAAAGCCAGTGCTGTGACGTGGTGAATAAGGATCAGGATGCACATTCTGAGCTATTAATGCAATAATAAGTCACGGCTTGAATTTACTGTCAGAGCACATAAATACCTGTTCACCGAGTTTTCTGCATGTGTGAAGAGATAATTTTGCCTAGAATGAGAAGTGGCAAACACATGGTCCAGCAATGGGAGCAGGACAGTCAGTGGAGCAAGCAGGATTTCTCTGGGCTCCTTATTTATTCATTATTTTAAAGGAAAAATTTTCATTTCATTTTAAGAACAGGGGAAAAACGCTTCTGTAATATTTATCTTTTCAAAGCTCATCTACTTGTGAACATTTAACAAGGCTTAATCAAACATGACAAGTTCCTTGATAGCAGACTGACAGAAGGAACTGTTCGTGGAGTGGTTATGCAGCAGCTGTGTATCTTTTCATATCATATATCAGATGCAGAAAACTGCTGAGCTCAACCAAAGAAACCATTCCCGGGATTTTTGTAAAAGTGAAATACTTTGAATATAATTAGTCTTTAAATGTGTTTTTATTGATACATTTTCCTTAGCGATGAAGTTCTTCATTAGCGTGCCAGAATTTAAAGATGAGTAACTGCACGCCATTGACTAATCCCCTTAAATTCCTGTAACATAATTGTTCACGTTACATGTCTGTATGGCCTAGACAATGTAATGGATTTACAGCAGATAGGATCTTTTTTTATAATTAAAACATTTGTGGCAGAGGGTGATCGTTTCTCTGTTTAAAAAATAGATGCAGTAATGTTATATTGCCGAATTGTTGAGTAAAATCGTTGTTGCCATTTGGCAGAGATGCATTTGGAATTAATTTAATGTACTCTGGAGCAATCGATAGTTTTCCGAAACATTTTTCATTTTTCTCTGGAGAAGGAGATTCATTTCTTCTTCATTTGTCACTTCCTATTGAGCCTTAGTGGATGTTACAGGTTTCTCTTTAAGAAGAGCATATATAAATGAGCAGAATGTTAATTAGGATTATACTGCTTTGTTGCCTCCAGCTGGCAGTGAAGGTCATACTGGCTTATATTTTACACTTAAAGCAATGTTTTTCTTAAGCAAACATGACAACTTAAGGGAACTGAAAAAGGCTGTAACATGAGTCTACTTAGGCTTCTGTCACGTTTTGATTTATTTATGTTAATAATTGCATACTTTATATTATTTCAGTAAATAAATTAAAATAAAAAATCATATGCCACTATATAAAATGAGACAAATTCCAGACTTAAATAGAGCCGGGTGAGAATGGCTGTACAGCCAGGCAGTTTGTGGTAGCTTCTCGAGATCTCAGATGAGGGCTGGGAAGATCCTGCAAACTAGAAAAGATTTGGGCCTCAGTGGGATGAGTGGGTGTTGTACGTGGAGACAGGAAAGCCAACAAAGACTTTATCCAAATGTAGGTTTGGGCTGGCAGAGTGATCCTCTGCCGTGGCTGTTCCTCCTGGCTTCTGTGCTTTGATTGAGCAAGGGTGCAGACCTGACCCCTGGCCTGTATATGTGCTGCTGGCCAACTGATGGGATTTTCTCACAGCAGACACCATTTTTTGAGACAGCTGTTTGTCACTAAGCTTGTAGGATTTCCCTCAGATGTTGTTGGAAGACATGCAATGAGTTTGGTGCTGACTATAAACTAGTGATGGGCCAGTTTAACACCTGCCCTCCAGTCAGCCACATAAGGACCGGTGTATATTTGCACAGTAAAAATGAAAACCAAGTAGTACTGTGCTCCAAAAACAAGAAAACATGATCACAGATGTGGACGCTTCTTGTCATACTGACAGCTCATGTGCTTTGGCAAGCGGATGAAGAACGGCAGGTGTCACAGATTTATGGGGAAGCTCCCAAGCAAAACCCTCAAACATAACCTGTTTATTCTTTAAGAACAATAAAGAACATTTTTTGTGAGTCATGTGTGATTACATACCTCAAAATATGCATTTCACAGAATCACAGAATGACCAAGGTTGGCAGGGACCTCTGAAGATCATCTGGTCTGACCCCCCTGCCGAGCAGGGTCACCTAGAGCACATTGTGCAGGATGGCATCCAGGCGGGTTTGGGATATCTCCAGAGAAGGAGACCCCACAAGCTCTCTGGGCAGCCTGTCCCAGTGCTCTGTCACCTCACACTAAAGAAGTGCCCCCTCATATTGAGCCAGAACTTCCTGTGCTTTACATTCACATATATGGATTCCTTAGTCTATTGAATAATGCTGCATTCACATCATTGCGCATCCCCAAGAATGGAATTAAGATGACGTGATGCCTTATTATCATCTGACTTTGCAGTTACCTTACAGGGCTTGGTGTCGATAGAGCCTGTCTCCCCCACTGTCTCACAGATACTTCCCTGATGCACAAATACTCTTGGACCCTCCTGCATACACACTTCACATTACACACTTCGAAATTAATGTGCTACAAGGCTAATTGCATCTATCAGCCCATTAAGCAAAACCACATGCCCTTTCTTATGTGAAAGCCAGACCTCTGTGATGGTATACCCTCGTCTTTCCTGGAAACTAATAAAAATGTTAGCGAGCCCTTTTAAGATGGTTTCTGTCTGCATAATCACTTCTGCTTAATTTAAATAAGGCAAGATTTTATTTGCATTTTTATTTTTTTCAGCTGAAATAGGGCTTTGAAAAGTTGGTGAACCCTGGTATAGTGCATTCGAAAGCCAGACTCTGATATTCTTTCTACCCATAGTGTTCCTAAGGTTGTTTACAGAAATCAGGGTAAGTCCTGTAATTATAAAATGCAGGAAGGTCCTCAGCAGACTGCTACAATACAGAAGCCTTTAATGTATTTATCACACTTCTCTAAAAGTTAGGTGAGTTCTTGCGTCAAGTAACAAACTGAAAATCTTGCTCAAAAACTTTGTCTAGTTTTAATCTTAGCATCCCTCAACATCAGTTAAGTATTTTTTCTTGCCCCTGAAAGATTATAGGCACAGTTATGTTCCTCTTACTCTTTGTTTAGGTAAGGCTAGACTCCCAGGCCAGTGTGTTTTTGTTTTTTTTTTTCCCAGCTTCTGAGACTTGTTCATCTTTTCTCATACCAGCACAGCACTGCTTCACTGTGTCTCTTTGGACTTATCGTTCTTTTCTGGCACAAATGATACACTGTGCTTAGATGGTTTCTTGCAGTATCACGTACGTGTACGGTGACAGGAACAGCTTCCCATTATTCCTGGAAACATCTCAGTTACTACAACCTATGAATGCCTTTGTTTTTTGCATGGTCTTAGAGCATCGACAGCTTGTATTTGGTGGTAGTTCATCCACTGCATACTCAACTGATTCTTATTCTGTCTTGCCTTCAGCTTCCAAGTTGACAGTTTTCAGCTGAACTTTTTGCTGTTAGTTCATGACCTTGTATTTTATAGTCTTACCTGTACCCGCATCTTAATTTCTTGCACCATGAAGGTCATCCAGTTGCATTTTAATCACTTCTGGGTGATCCACTCAAATGAATGTAAACACTTCTTGTGTTTAAGAATTTGCATCATTTGCAGCTTTATTTTATAATTTAGTGGTCAGCCACTGGATTTCAACAGACTTCTGGGTGACAGTGGAAGAAAATCACCCAAATCATGTCTCGTGTCAGGGCTGCAACCTATATATTGCAGTATTTCAGTATTGCCAGACATAGGAGGTAAAAAAAAGCATGAATCAGTAGCAAAATACGGTAAGATTATTTTTATTTAAAGCATTTCGGTATAGAGTGCCTCTTCTATTCAGTATTTTTTCAGTTAGTGCTTTCACAGCTTCCTTCAAAATAAAAATAAAGCCTTGTTACACCAAACATGAAAAAGGAGGCTATTCATTTAGAACACGAGATGAAGTGGGAAGTTTTTCATACAACATAGTGAAAGAGTATTGCTTCTATAATAATTTTAAGATGAACCTACTTCATATTTCTTGGAAGTGAATAAAAAGTCTTGAATCATAGCCCGAATATAACATTCTGATTGCTATCAGTGATACACAGCACTAAGTAGTTTATTACTCATTTTATTACCTGTCAGGTACTGGCTATTTATGCTTACTGACGTCCGTGCTTACACAGCCCAGTAATTGGATACCTCGCCAGCTGCTAGTTGCAGTTTTGTGTAGAGAGGGAAGAAAAATTGCTAAAAGCAATTGAGGTCTCACTGCAGCATTATTAATGATGAAGGCAAAAGATCTTTTATTTGCTTTCAGGGGGGTTGCTGGGAACTGCTGGGAGGGGTGCAAACAGATGGTGCCCCTCTCAGGAGGGTAAAATTTAGGGGAGCCATCGCTGTGCCACTGTACCACCTGCAGGCCTGTGGTGCTCAGGCTGAGAGCAGCTGGGCCTGCAAGGACTTTGGGATCGTGGGTACCCAAAGCAGTAAAACATCTTGGCAAAACTATTTGTCACTCATTGACAGGGTGGGAGAAGTACCACAGCTGCACCTGAGATAAACCTAATTTCAGTTCTCCCGTGGATTTCTTGGGTTAAGTCATCAGATAGCAATATTTCTGGCTGCTGTGCAGTGCTGCTGGGCTTTGAGGGTGTTACAGGTCTGCTGTTCCCTAGGGCAGTGGGAGATGGGCGGTGGGAAGGCCTAGTTTGTTCCTAAGGAGCTCTGAAACCTCCTGCACGCAGTCACACTCAGCTTTGCCCTGTGGTAAGTGTAAAAGAGACCTCAGCCTTGGTGCTTAAGGGACATCAGCCTGTTGGTTTTTTTTTGGTTCCTCAGCCCTTAGGTCACAACGTGCTTCCAAGAGAGTGGTTATGGCCCAGCCATGCTTTCTGGCACCCAGATCCCTTGTGTCCCTGCTGCAGCCTCTCCTACTGACTCCAGTGCCACAGCCCTGCAGTCCCACATCCTGATCCTCATTCTCCTGTCGGTCTCTCCAGGTTTCCAAGTGGCAGCGACAGCAGTAATAGCTGTAGGGCTTAGGCTTTTTAACCCATATTTGCCCTAGTCAGCATTGCAGAGGAACATTTGCTTCTCCTCGCCATGCTACTAAGATAACAAGTCCACATTCTCTGACAGATTTCAGTATTATTTTTTTTAACTGACCTTCCAGGAGTCCTACACTGTTTCTTCCTCTGTTCTGCCTGTGAAATACTTCATTGAGAGTGATTTTTGGCAAAAGTCCAGGAGAGTTGTTGGTTACTGTGTTAATCCAGTCAAGGGATGTCTGTAACAAAACAGCTGTCCTGGGGTTCCTGGTCTGCACTTTGAAACTGCTGTGGGCTGGTTCTTTGAGGATCCACATAGCACTGACACACAGATTAGGGACATGGCTTAGTGGTGGGCTTGGTGCTGTTAGGTGGTGGTTGGACTTGATGATCTTAAAGTCCTTTCCAACCTAAGCAATTCTGTGATTCTGTGATTCACAATTATATTTGACCTGCTTGTGGAGGAGGAGAACTGTGAGCTCCTGAGTTTTGAGAGCTTCCACCCCAGCTGGGGTGGAGTGGGCAGACTTCCACTTTCCTTATGACTGGGGCAGGTGAAATAAGAACTTGCCTGCAGTTCATGTTTTCTTCTTTGCAAAGCCCAGATTTATGCTTTCCAGTGAGGCAGAAGCACTCGGAGGTTAAAGTGCATGGGACAGTTAGAAGTATTAGTCATGTTTGTATGTACATTTTAATTAAAAGTGAAATGAAAGTGGCTGACTTGGCAGGCGGGGAGATTAGCAGCTTTACAGCTTCATGTGGACAGAGGGGATAGTGTCATGTACTGTAGTCTTGTGAAATGCTTACTTTCCCTGCTTTCTCTGAAGAGAGGAGATGAAATCTTGTTCAGATCTGGTGATGCTGTTGGACTACCGTCAGGTATGGGTATATCACAGCACAAAGACAAGAGCAGAGGGCATCAGCAGTCCTCTGTACACATTCCTTTCCCTTACAGAGTCAAACCCTAGAAAAATGCCTACGTAGACATTCCAAAACTTGACGTAAATGTTGTCTAAAGATCCTGTTTGCATTCACTGTTTAAACAGATCGACAATATTATGATGTGCCGTTTTAAATGAAGACCAGATACAAGCTCAGATAATTGCACCTTTGAGTCTTAAGAATGCAACTTTGGTTTTGTAAGCAGTCTGCACTTTTGTGACAGATCAATGCAAACACACGGATCACATTTCCTAGACACACAGTCTGGAGTAATCACCACAGAGGCTATGGCTCTGAATTTCTGGATTGAATTTGTGAGCGGAAAGAGTCTCTCCAAGAGATGTCATTTTGATTTCATCCTAGACCCTGCGCCATGCTTGGGTCTGCTCCCCAGAGCTTGCTTTGACCCCTGGCCAAGTCAGTAGGGCATTGTGAGTATTCAGGACGTCCCTGGGCATGCTCAGTGACCTCATTACTCTCCAAATTTATAAACAAGGACATAAAAGAGGCATCCCCGCTATCTTATTGGAAGCCACAGAAGCACTGTGGGATCGTCATTTCTTTGGAAGCTTTGGGCTTTCCTCCATGTGCCAAGAGGCGGTTTGACTGCGATCTCTCCATCTGGCTCAGTGCTCTGGCATCTCCTCATGTTGACGGCATGGCTGTGGGCAAAAAGAAACAGAGATAGACACAGTGATGAGAACTGATAACCGGAGATGCTGTGAAGACACCCTCTCGAGCCCTGTTTCAGATGGTAGAGTTTCTTCTCCGCCACAGACACCAAATCAGAAATATCTCCATCCTATTTCCAGTATGACCCCGTGTTATAAAGGGTGTTTTAGCTCCTGTGAATATCAAGTAACAGAACTCAGCGATTGCAGAGCTGAAGCATAAATAGAAAGAGGAACAAGCAGCAGTGAACCGCTGACACTTCAGCTGAGACTTGGCAAGCCCATCTGGAAATGCTTGTCCCAGCAACACACATCACATTTGCACAGTACCTTCGTGATTGCCTCTGTGTACAAAGTTTATATCATCACTGACCTACTTTTTTTTTTTTTTTTAATGCTGGCAGTGAAAAGGCAGAAGTTTAATGTGAAGGGAATTACAATTCTTAAGTATTTCACGTCGTTCTGTATTTTCCTGTGTGTGTATATGTGCGCAAACATTGCCATATGCTCACTTAGTCTGTAATGAACTGAGACTGTGGCTGACCTGTGTGTTAACTTCCAGAGGGAATTTGGCTCCTAATGACATCTTTTGGTAAGTACCTACTTTGTGCTGTAGACAGGTCATGCAAACATGTGGAGAAAACTCCTTTAGAAAAAAAAACAAAGGTTTTGACCTCTGTGAGGATATAAAACTGCTCTGTTTTCAATAGAAAAGAGATATTCGACTTACTGGTGCAGCACCTCTGATGTCATCTGAGAAGAAGTGTTGAAACATCGTTAACTGGCATCAAATACCCTCATCTTTGGCAAGATGTTTTTTTTCTATCCACTTACTCCTGTCACAAAGGATGCTGTGACTTGCTTTGCTTGGAAATAAGTAAATCTCCTTTGACAGAAATTCCAGACATATGAAACTGGTGAATGAGCTTGAAGATGGCAGAAACCACCTTCCGTGCTCTTCCCTTCTGTGCATCACCGTTCATTTCCAAGGGGTTTGATGTGGCTCAGCTCAGAGTTCGCCTGGAGGTGGTAAAGCTGCAGAAGTGGAACGCGTCCTGGCTGCCAGGGCTGGGGCTGGGCTGTACGGACACGGTCGCTGCAGCCAACTGCCTGGGCTGGAGCAGGGCGTCCTGCAGCTGCACCCTGCCAGCGTGCTGGGACTCATCAGCCGTGACTGCGGCAGGACGTGCCTCATGCCATGGCTAATTAGAGCATCAGTGTACATTGTTCGGTAATTAGTAAATTCTGCTAAGAATAGCCATTTTAAGTGGTCTCTTCACTGGTATTCTTTCATTAAAAAAAGAGTAGTTCTATAATTACGCGTTCTGTGGTACGTATGAGAAATATACACACACAAATATATCTGCAAGCATATATATATAATGTATGTATGCATATATGTGTGCATGATTGAATGTGTGTGCATATGTATGTGTGTGATTGCTTCTTACTGATTAAAAGTAAATGAGCAGAGCACAATGTCAAAGCCGTATAGAATCATAGACTCATAGAGTCATTCAGGTTGGAAAAGCCCTCCAAGGTCACCTGGTCCAACCATCCCCTACCACCAATGTCACCACTAAACCATGTCCCCAGGCACCATGTCCAACCTTTCCTTGAACACCCCCAGGGACGTGGACTCCACCACCTCCCTGGGCAACCCGTCCCAGTGCCTGACTGCTCTTTCTGAGCAGAAATGTCTCCTCATTTCTAACCTGAACCTCCCCTGGTGCAACTTGAGGCCATTCCCTCTGGTCCTATCACTGGTTACCTGTGAGCAGAGGCCGACCCCCAGCTCCCCACAGCTTCCTTTCAGGCAGATGCAGAGAGCAATGAGGTCTCCCCTGAGCCTCCTCTTCATACCATGCTTCCCATTAAGTATCAGGATCCAAACTACTCCCTACACATTTTTACTGAGCTTTGCTACAATAAATATAGGGACAGTATAGGATGTACCAGGGAATGGCAGATGAATTATTCAGAAAACCACCAAGAAGAGCAGTAGGCTTTTTGTCTGTTCATGCATAGAAATCAGGACTGGATGGTGTTAGCCAAGGCAGATGTTAGCCAAGCACACACTACTAGACTGAACAGAGGGAAGTAGCTGGGTGAAAGATCAGAGCTGTGGTCCAGTCGGTGACATCAGTGCTGTCTTTAGCCAGCACATTGGCCTTCTGTGGGTTTTAAAAGCAAATTCAGACTCTTGTGCAGTCACTGCCTTTGCGAAATCCTTACCCATTGGTTCGGAGAAAGATGCAGCAGACTTTAAAAAGCATTATTTTCCCAAGAGGAAAACAAAACACAAATTCCATGTAGCTGTGAGAGCAGTTTCTTCCCAAATGAGGTCCTGATTCTTTGTTCCTTAAGCAAAAAATTTGATTTTTCCATTTTCATGACTTTTCTGACTGTCGGTAAAGAAAATGCCTAATGGCTTCTCACCAAGTAACGTTGTTCCTGACTAGCCCTGAGCACATTCACTGCAAAACAGGGGCACAGTGCTCTGGGTTAGCCCTTTCCACGCTCCACAGGAGGAAGGCACTTTTATCTGGGGCAAGAGTCCCCGCATATTTTTCATTAGCACCAACTCCTGTTTAGACAAGGCCCCAAGAAAACTGTTCTGGCATGCACACATGCAAATACAGACTGCCTCTGTTTGTTGTAAGAACAAATATGAGCCAGAGATATCAAGGTGGAAATATTAAAGGGTTGTGTGCGCCTGTTCCAGTTCACAGGGAATGGCTCAGGTGCTTTAGTTCTCACATCGTCTCCCACAGGTAGCAGAGACCGTGGTCCCAAGTGCAAAATTCAGCATTTTACCTTGAATAATGTAGGGAATGACATATGGATGATGTGCTGGTGTACACAAGATTGTTTTCTGGAGTTCAAGCTCCAGTCCAAGGGGCTTGCTGAATCAAGGTTTCCCCCATTGCCCCTTGTCGTTCACCCTTTTTCTTCTGCCTCTTCTCCCCTCTGACTGCTCAGGTTTGGTAAGGGAGCTGATTTTCCCGAGCAGCTCTTGTGAGAAACATCTTGTAGCGAGAGAAATGTGCCTAGTGTCAAGGGATATCTATGCCAGTCATAACGTGGACTAGCTGATGAAAAGTGAGTAACATTACTTACAGGGAAAACATTGAGGTCTTTTGACGAGAAGCCCGTTCCCAGATGCCAAGGGATAAAGAATTTACCACTTCACTTGATCCTTGGTTCCAGTGTATAATCGCGTTCTGTTACGTTTTCTCCCCTTTTTATCCCATTTGATTTGGCTCCTGATAAATATGGCTGAACACCAACACGTTTTTAGAATTCTGGCCTAAACTTTTGATTTATGTACTGCATAAGTTGTAGGCACAATTTCAGTTTATTGAGCTACTTCTCCTCCATAAAATCTGATTTTTAGCAGATTCATAGAGGTGAGGGAGCCTGACAGAGAGGAGAGCATACACCACAGGGGAGAAAAAACAAGTTCTCTTTTTGTTCTTTATTTCAAATAAACTAGCTGGAAATAATTCAGTATGCACACGATGGCTATACACTGCAGAGTAAGTTCCCACTTTCATTTGGAAATTGTACGTAAAGATTTTTTTTTTTGAAGCTTTTATATGATAATGTTCTGTTTGACTTGATGACTTTGTAACCTCTTAGCAAATTTGGATCCACTTTAGCCAGTGGGTGGAGACAGTTAAGATAATGAAATTTCTACGAGTTACATGAATATAAGCAAAAGGGTATTGAGAGAAACCCTATAATGCTCTGAGTAAGAAAGAAGGCCGTAGAAGGACCCCATATCTTCTGACAGGACAAAGAACTTAAAATACGTGAGACTACCAAGTGCAGGGAAGCCTTCAGGCAGAATTTAAGACACAAGTACTCGGTTTTGGTGCTCTTGGCTCCTGGCCTGTTTACAGAATACCGTACCCCTCTTGGCACACCCCAGCATGGAGCTTGTACAAAGGATTTCATAGAACCGGGGTTCCCTTTTGTACCAGATGAACACCATTCAGTAAGACTTGACTGAGAGGTGGGTTGAGCTGTCTACCTATGTATTATATGCCCTTTCCATATCTTTGTTCTTCTAGAGCATTGTGCAGCATAAGACTTGATGAACATTAGCAAAACCCGAAATATGTTTTAAAAGTAAAGCACAGTCAGAAATACTGATAATTGCACGTTCTATAATTAGAGCTGTGTGGGCTTTTCTTTCGAAGTATGGCAACAGCTGCTAGAGCACATCTGGAAAATATGCTTTAAGCAAAGATATTTTAGCTCAGAGATTTTCACAACTGCTTGTGATATTTACCGGTATTTCTTTCCAGAATACTAATCTGATTTATTAATGTTTTTAATAAAAAAGTATTCCTTTTTTTAATGCTTCCAGAAGCTGGCTTTGAATTCGTATCACGGATTGGACATTCCAGTGTAGTTCAAGGCTGAACGCTGCAAAACGAAAACATTGCTTTGCTGCTATTTTTAGGTAGAAGTTTGTCTACTGCCCTAATAACACTGTCTTCACCACTTTCAGCCAACTCTTCTCTCTTTCTTTGATTCTAAAGGGAAATAATTGTTTCACACTGGAGTCACGTTGAGAGGCCAATTGGTCTCATGGCTGGACTCCTACTCTGTGTTTTCCGTGACCCTGGTTAACACCCTGCTGTGCCATAAAGAAAATAGAGTTGTTGCTCCTACAGTTATTGCAGCATCACTCAGAACTTCATTGAAGTCGGTGAGAGTATTTACATGGTAGGACCCAGGGCACTTGGAAATGAAGGGCAATATTTTTGCTTGTGGTAGGAGCCCAAGAGTTGTGGCTTCAATGTTTTCTTCCTAGCTGCTGTGTACATACCTGGCACTGCAAAAATGGGATGAATGAATTTATTAATGAAAACCAAAAGGAAATAAACAAGAATGCAGAAAGCTAAACAACTTCAAAAAAAAACCAAAACCCTCTATCCATTAATTTATTGACACAGATGTTACTCATTATATTTGTTTGGAAAAAAATGACTAAAAACAAAGATGCGGAACCCAAAGGCCTTTACTAACCTAGCCAGGATCTTGCATTCTGACCTAAGTGTCTCAAAATCAGCCAGCCTCCTTGCTTTCAATATAATGAGGGAATTTTGCAGATTGCATTTACCAAGAGTTTTGCAGAGTGAGGAATAGGTTTCCCTTTCTTTAGAGTAGAGGGCAACTTTTTTGTGCTAGATAACATTACGTTGAAACAGCTTTGCGACTGAATTTTAAATCGTAAATGCTGTACTTTTGCAGCTGGAGGCAAAATGGATTTACCCAAATGATGAAGATACTGCATCTAAAAAAACACGTGAGGTTTAAAAAAGTCTATGGCGGTGGTAGTGAAAAACAAAAGAGTGACATGGAACAAATTAGCGGCAACATGGGAAAATTAATTCCAAATTATTGACGGTTTAATTGACAGACAGGAAGCCTTTTAATGTGCTTCATATGCTCTGCTGTTCTTCTTTTTTTGGTCTTTTCCACCGGACAGAAAGCCAGTTTTCCCAAGGGTGGGGTTTGAAATGTTACCAATCGGTTTTTGGGGGTTGCCACCATGGGTGGAAGGCTCTTTGCCCCTTGTGTCCAACAGCTGCAGGGTGAGCCAGGCTTGGGCGCACTGGCTCAGCTCTTTTCCCAGTTTTGCTGGTAGCAGAGGTTCTTTGAGCACCGGATTCATAGGGTGATTTTTGACCCATAGGCTCCGACTGCACGAGGAGAAGGTCATTAAGGACCGGCGGCACCACCTCAAGACAGTATCCCAACTGCTTTGTTGCCAAAGAGCTGATTGACTGGCTGATTGACCATAAGGAGGCCTCAGACCGAGAGACAGCAATTAAACTTGTCCAGAAGTTACTGGATCACAGCATTATCCATCATGGTAAGTGCAATATCACTTCTAAGCTAAAGCTGTTGTAAGTCAAAGAGAAATCCCACTCCTGTTTCTCCACTCAGGAATAGGACAGGTAGGGTCTTTTCCTTGCCAGGAATGGGGTATTTGGCTTGAAGGGTGCTGCTCCACAAGTCCCTCTGTTTCCCCAGGGACATGGAGAGGCAGTCAGGATGTAGAGTTGTGTTCCCCATTTTGGCACAGGAGGGAAGTCGCTGCAGACCATGCTGATGCTTCCCTGCCTTCCTGGCATCCTCATCTGGATCCTGCCCCCTCTACTGCTACCATCAGGCGCTGTCTGCTGCTCCCCCTTCCCTGCTCTCCTCTTCACAGCCCTGTCCTCTTTCAGCTGAAAATCCCATTTGAAAAATAAGCCAGCAAAAAAAAAAAAAAAAAAAAAGGTTGTCTTTCTTGCAG